TTATAATAACGAAAGAATAAAACTGAATAATTATTATAATCGTTACACCACAAGGGTTAAATAAAATAGTATCGTACGAACAAAAAAAAAAATCAATCCTTATTTTATATCATGAAGCGATCTCTGCTACATACTGTGTGTACTGCAAGATTAAACAATCTTCCCTGTGACAAACTTTTCTACAAACAGAAATATACTTGGGACATGTGATATTCGGAACTTTTAAACTCAACTATTTTTGTAAAAAAAAATTCCCTAATTTATTTATCATATTAGGAAATCAATCCTTTAAAAAAAACTATCAACTCTCTTTTGGTATTATTAACTTACGTAATTATATCATATTAAAAAAAAGTAAATAACATTCAAATATCTGATTTTTATATTTCCAGTCAACCTGGATTTACCGGTTTATTTTCTCCTAGAAGTGCGATATTAATATCGATATGTATAAATAATAATAAGTTTTAACCTTTAACGTTTAGTACTTTTAAGTGTAACATTTAATTTTAATTTTATTACATAATTTTGTTATAATTATAGATATAGATACTATATATATTTTTACCCCATTATAGATAAATATGCACTAAGTTTATCTACATGTGACTAGGGATATTAATCTTCCTTAAAGACTGGGTACTGGACGGGTCCCAGTCCATTTATATAACTTAATCCAATCAATCATAACTTTCATATGAGTACAGCTGCAGATTAAAAGTATCGGACAAAATTATAACTCTAAATCCTTCTCCTATCATAAGCTGAACCAATAAAAAGCTTACGTACTGTGTCAATCTGGTTAAGATACTGTATTAATATCAAAACTTGATCGAAATGTTTCTACTTCGTAACGATAATAATAATAAATTTGCAACTACCTATATCAGTCACCCGATTTGTCACATCTAAATTTTTATCATATGATTTTCACAAGTTACACGAATTTACAAAATTGCATTTTTAAAATTTTCTCGAAAACCTTAGTCTAAAGTATGCAACGGTTCTTAAAAAAAATAGGTGCTGAGGTTTTTACGAATCGAATGGTGCGAAGAATGTAAAAATTGAGCCACTCCTTATGAAATACCACCTTCTTAAAAGTAGGCAATTCTTTTACCTACTTTCGTCAAATCCTATTCAGGTAGATGCGTCTAAGTGGGAGCTTTCGCCAAAATGCATCTTTGAAAAGCGGGTGCATTATGAACATAGTGAAGAAAATCAAAGAAAACTGATTTATAGTAAGTAGATCGTTTATTAATTAGAAATCTTTATTTTATATTTCCATATTTTAATTTTACTTGCTTAGGCTGTTTGAATTTAAAGATTCGTTTAACGTTCCTTTATTCATATTTGCTTGAAGTGGGAAGGGGGGGAGGGGGAATTAAACAATAAAATTAAACAGACCCAAATTTAGGTCTAAATTAAGTTCAAATTGTACCTGATTAGTGATACGATCCGAATATCCAAATCCTATCTGACTCGGATTTGTTCCCTTGAAAAGATATCTGTTATCTTACATCAGATAGGATACTGTATCCATTATCTGATTGACGGATATCTTCTATCTTAAATAAATTTTACAAAATAAATTCGTAATATAAATTTCATCGTTATTGTATTTATTACAAAATAAATCTTGTAATATAATTTCAATGTTATCGTATTTATTACAAAGTAATTTTATAATAAAACATATTTATCATATTTATTACAAAGTAAATTTATAATAAAACATTAAATTGTAATAAAACATATTTTACTATATATTATAGCGAGCAGGAAAAAGAAGAGGCAGAACAATTGACAAAACAAATAGCTGCAAAGTTATAATATTAGTTATAATTATTTAATGTTTCTTTTGTAAATCTGTTGTTATTCAGAAAGATAAATATTTTGATATTTGTCAACATTCCTTTTTAAAAATAATATTTTTTTGAATAGTTCAGGTGTAATGTGAGTCCTTTTTAATGTTAATAAGTTATGAGTATTACTAAACAAATGCTCGCTAGGAGTTGAAGTTACAGGAACTGCTAAGTATATTCTTGCCAATTTAGATAAAATTGGAAATTTTTTTGAATGTAAATCTCACCATATTAAAGGGTCTTTTTGTAAACTAATTTTTAGTATTATAAAATATTCTTCAATTTCATTGGCTACTTGAAAATCATCTTTTTCTAATGATTTCAGTAAACAAGGTGTATATAATAAATTATCATTGGTTGTACAATTATTTATTTTATTATTATTTTCTGAATCTTCGCATTCTTTATTATATAGAATTTAGTTAAAAAAATTGTAATTATATTAATCAATTTTTAATTACAAAGTTATACATACTATAGATTTTTATATCTGTTTTCTAATAATTTTTCATTATTATACAGATTCTTAAGAATGTCTTTAGCTGCTAATTTATTTGTAATTTTGACAAAATCTAAAGATTTAAGTTGAGGATCTAATAGAGTAGATATCAATTCTTGAGATGTCAGATTAGGATAATAGTGACAAAGCATTGTATATATTTTTGTCTTAACTTTATTTAACAAATCTATAGTATTAATAGAATTATTTAATTTAATTTGATCTTGACTAGTTTGGTCTTCTTCTTCATAATCAAATACATCTTCCTCATCTTCATTATCTAATTCATCTATTTCAACAATTGTTAGTTTAAACATTTCTTTTAATTTTTCAATTACATGATATATAAAGCTATATGTTGAATAGTATATACTACCTAAATATTGAGTAGCTTCTGCAAATAGTCTAAAAACTTGTATAAGATATTTTAATAAATTCCATTCTTGTTCTGCTAAATTTATTTCATGTAAATATTTTCTATCTTTACATTCATCAGAATTTTTATGAGTTGTAAGATAAATAATAAGAAGATCAATATAAGCTTTAATTTGTATTAAGTGTATTCATGCAAGATAAGAACTGTTTTATCTCATATTACAATCAGAGATACAATTAATTAAATAATCTGCAGTTTCTTTTGCATTCTATAAATAACAAATAAATTATTTAAAAATATTATCCTTTAAATTGTAATACAGGCAAATTTGCCTGCGTTCACTTTTAATTTTTGTAATTTTTAAAATAAAATCTTAAATATGAACTTAAATATATACTTTCTAAGTAAAATATATTTTTTAGTATTTATTTTAACAACTTTGTTAAGAAAGTTTTTTAAAAT